ATTGATGAAAAAACTACCTGTGCCCCACAGTCCCTGACCACTGCTTCCAGGGCTCTATAATCCTTCTTGATATTCCTCAGGCTGCTCCCGGCTGTAGCACTGGTGGCCACGTGAAACAACAGCAGCGGATAATAGTCAGAGGACTGACTGTATGAGGCTGGGTAGTCTCTTGGTGATATCCCTGGTACAAGCCCCCGGTAAGCAGCACACCTCCCTAGAGACTGCATCAGGTCGGCAAATGGGTGCCTCTCTACCTCTCAGAAGAGAGTCACCTGCTACTATCACCCGTCGCCTTTTCTTGGTTGGACTGGCCGGTGTATGTGGGGCGTATACGTGGAGCAGATCGGGTTGCCTTACTCAGCTCCAGCTCCTCTCCTGATGCAATGGGTTTTTCCTCTTCACTCTGCAGAGCAGAAGCAGTTCTGCAAGGGCACCTCAGGCTTTCTCCTGCTGGTCCTTGCTGTCACTAGCTTCCATTCTTCTGTGTTACTGGTCCCCCTCTCTTCTGTGTGTGCCGATGTGGGAGTTTTTGGCTGTGGGCTGTTGATCCATTGCAGGCTGCACTTGGAACCAGCTATCTAACTCCTCAGCCTCCCTGATGTTATGCAGCCTCCTCACTGCCTCCTGCAGCTCAGCCACCTGTTGCAGGAGATCCTCTACCTGGGCACACCTTTTGCAGGCAGGAGTGCTGCCTATCCCTGGCCTAAGATTTTTTTTTTTAGTTTTCCAAGATCCCCGGGTCCTTTTCAGCAGATCTGCTCCCCAGCTAGTCCCTGGATAGTATTGATGCCAGGGGTTCTTCTTCCCTAGGTGCAGGACTTGGTGTTTGTCCTTGTTGAATTAAATTAAGTTCCTGTCAGCCCATTCCTTCAACCTGTCTAGGTCTCTCTGAATAGCAGCCCTGCCCTTGAGTGAATTTACTTCATCCTCCCAACTCCTGCAAACTTGACAAGAGGAAGATGCATCACCTCCTCCAGGTGTTTGATAAAGATTTTAAACAGACAGGTCTCAGGATAGATCCCTGTAGTACCACACTTGTCACAGGCATCCCGGGAGAGTACAACCCATTAACCAGCACTCCCTGAGCTCAGCTACCCAACTAGTTTTTAAACCCATCTAGTTGTCCACCCATCCAGGCTATAATATCCCAACTTGGATACAAGAATATTGTGGGATACAGTATTGAAAGCCCTGCTAAAGTCAAGGTAAATGACATCCAGTGCTCTCCCTTCATCCACAAATCCTGCCATTTTATCACAGAAGGCAATTAGGTTGGTCAGGCATGATAGCCCCTTGGTAAATGCATGCTGACTGTTCCCAATCACCTTCTCCTTCATGTGCCCAAAAACATGTTCTAAGAGGACTTTATGATTTTCCCAGGAACTGAAGTTCCCTGGGTTGCACTTTTGGCTTTTTATTTTTTAAAGATGAATGTAACATTTGTCCTTCTCTAGTCATCAGGGAATTCCCCTGATCTTTGTGACTTTTCAAAGCTGATAAGAGAATGGCCTCACTATGAAACCAGCCAGTTCTTTCAGTACCCTTGGATGCAGCCCATCTGGTCCCATGGATTTGTACAGATTAAGTTCTCTAAAATAATCCCTGATTCAATCCTCATCCACTGTTGGTAGTTTTCCTTGAACCCTGTCTCTAAGCACAGAGGCCCGTGAGACTTTGTCGGTGAGGAATGAGGCCAAGAAGGCATTGAGTACCTCAGCCTTATCTATGTCCACTGTTGCTAGATCACCCACCTCATTCATCAATAAGCCCACCTTCTCCTTTATCAGTCTTTTACTATTAAAGGGGTAGTAGAAGCTCTTGTTGCCCTTGATCTATAGAGTTCCTCAAGTTGCTTAAAGAAAGCTTTGTCTGCTTCCTCACCCTGTCTGTAACAAACTCCTTCCACAATATCACACTTATCGGCCTCTGCTTTGATCTCGTTCAGTTCCTGTTAGTTGTAAGGGTAATCTTTGGAAATTGAGACCAATGTAAGCAAAGATATAACTGTAAATCATGTCATGGAGAAGGCAGTCAAATATCATAAACCTGTCATCTCATGGTAACTATTAGTTGTATGGGAAGCTATCTGTCGAGAAACAGGTTAAAGAATATTACATAATATTGCTATTTATTTTCCCCCAGATGGATATGCAGAGTTACGGGGGGGGGGGGGTTCACTTCAAATTTTAGTGTCTTTTGTTAAATACTTCAAATAGCTTTTCTTTTTTTTTTTTAATTTTTATTTCAGTTGTACCATATTTTAGTTCAAAGTAAACAGTAACTAAGCAACCATTTTGGCACTAGCAAGCCACTCATCCACTTCTGCTTTTATTTGGCCCAACTTTTTGTTTTAACACCAAAATAATTATAATGATTCTTTGGTGTGTTGACTACTTGTGCAAAATACTATAGTGCAACTAATAGGTCTTACTTGACAGGCCTTCACTAATATCTGTAAGAAGTATTAAGGGTTCCTCTATTATAATGAGCTACCAAGATTGAAGAATTTCTTACATGTATAGCTATGTCTTGAAAAGTGTCAGACTTAGAGGTTAATGCAGATAGTTAGGAACCATCTGTAGTCAAGTTTTGAAAAATACTGTATTGTTCCTTTTTTAAATTGGTTGATATTGATTAAGAATTACCAACTCAAGAGCCAGCAGGCAGTAATTTGACGCTATCCTAGTGATAAGTTATCAAACCTGAAAAATAAACAAAACCCATTAAACCTTCTACTTTAACTGTCATGCTTGTGCTTGGCATTAGGATGGGGATAAAAGCTAAAGAGATAGGTCCAGTATTTCCCATATTTGGTGGTACAGGAGTAACAGTTTGCGGTACTATTCTGGGTAACTAATTGAATAACCTGTGACCTGAAAGCCACTTGGCCTTTCTAAGTGGTACATACTCTACAGTGCTCAGTAGTTCAATCAAGATGGGAATTGCTGCATCTGGATCAGTCCACTTCTGCTCAAGTCTTTTCTGCCTCCCTGAAAGGACTGAGGAGAACACCATCTGGGCCCCCATACCTTTCACTCATCCCCTGACCTCTGTAGTCACTCTTGATATGTTTCTGGTTACACCTGGTTGGTGCCCACATGGAAGTGCAAGAAGGTGTAATAGTCTGAGGGCTGGACAGTCCCTCCGCAAGATCCTATATATACTGGTCCCTGGCAAACAATAAACCTCACAAGATATCAGGTTATATCAGCAGATTCCCCCATCCCCCGCAGGAGGGAATCTCCAATAACTATCACACGCGTTTTCTCCTTTGTGTGGCCACAAAGTTTGGGCTCAGTTGGCTCTGATGGGTCTTTAAAGACCCTGATGGATCTTTCATGTCCTCACTAGTTCCCAGGGCACTATACCTATTGTTGTGGGTTGACCTTAGCTGGACGCCAGGTGCCCAACAAAGCCGCTCTATCACTCCCCTTCCTCAGCTATACAGGGGGAGAAAAATATGATGAAAGGCTCATGGATCGAGATAAGGACAGTAATTACTGTCACGGGCAAAACAGACTCGACTCGGGGAAATTAATTTAAATTATTACCAATCAAATAAGAGTAGGATAATGAGAAATAAAATCAAGTCTTAAAACACCTTCCCCTCACCTCTCCTTTCTTCTGGAGCTCAACTTCACTCACAATTTTCTCTACCTCCTCCTCCCCGAGCGGCACAGGGGGACGGGGAATGGTGGTTGCGGTCAGTTCATCACACGTTGTCTCTGCTGCTCCTTCCTCCTTGCTCTCTTCCCCTGCTCCAGCAGGAGCACCTCTTCCCTCTCCTTCTTCACTGACCTTGGTGTCTGCATAGTTGTTTCTCTCACATATTCTCACTCCTCTCCTTCCAGCTGCTGTTGTGCAGCAGTTTTTTTACCCTTTCTTAAATATGTTGTCACAGAGACACTACCACCATCACTGATTGGCTCAGCTTTGGCCATCAGTGGGTCCATCTTGGAGACAGCTGAAACTAGCTCTATCTGACGTTGGGGCAGCTTCTGGCATCTTCTCACAGAAGCCACTCCTGTAGCCCCCTGCTACTAAAACCTTCCTCACAAACCCAATACAAGGTTACGTGTCTATCTGGAGTTCTGTATGGAAATTGCGTTTGTAGTTCATGGCTGCACACACATGAAAATAATCACTCTATTTTAAAAGTTCCTATTCAGAAGGCAGATATTTGAATTAAGTTTTTGTGGTGTAACAGATAGCAATTGGCTTCTTGTATACTCATGAAGATGAAGCTAGACCAATTTAGAGTTAAAGCTCAAATTTTTCAATATGAGGAACAATTTATCAAAGACTGTGTTGGCTTCTTCACAAATAGAAATTTTTACATCGGGATTGGCTGTTTTACTGAAGATTATTTTAGTTTGAACAGGAATTAACAGGAACCACATTGCATTATTCAGTTCACAGTACAGCATCCTGTGACGTTCAATGTGCTGTTAGCTATTATACTATGCTAACTCAATAACATTCTGGTTTGGGGGTTCTTTTGTTTGTTTTTGTGTTCCTTCACAGGGTTGCCAGCATAAGTATAATATCAATATGGTAGTGGGAAATTAAGGTAAGTTTTTGGTCATCTGTCTCTTAGCCATCATCTCTTTTTTTTTTTTTTTTAAAAAAACTGTTCTCACTGTGATCTAAGTCAAACTTCATCCATTTTTAGCATTATAGCTGCTTCTGCTTTAATTTATAGAATCATGGATTTTCCAGGACACTTCGAGCAAGTCTTTCAGCAGCTAAACTACCAGAGGCTTCATGGCCAACTTTGTGACTGTGTCATTGTGGTGGGAAACAGACATTTCAAAGCCCATCGCTCTGTTCTGGCAGCATGTAGCACACACTTCCGAGCTCTCTTTACTGTAGCAGAGGGTGATCAAACTATGAACATGATTCAGCTGGACAATGAAGTGGTGACAGCAGAAGCTTTTGCTGCCCTGATTGATATGATGTACACTTCTACACTAATGCTTGGGGAGAGCAATGTAATGGATGTCTTGCTGGCTGCTTCTCACCTACATTTGAACTCTGTTGTTAAAGTGTGTAAACACTACCTTACTACCAGGACACTACCGATGTCTCCACCTAGTGATAGAGTTCAGGAGCAAAATGCATGCATCCAAAGATCTTTCATGCTTCAGCAGCTTGGGCTGAGCATTGTGAGCTCTGCATTAAATTCCACTCAGAGCACAGAGGAACAACTAAATGCCATGAGTTCATCGATGAGAAGTAACATAGAACAACATACTACCTTTCCTATCCGGCATCTCCACAAGTATAAACAGTCTTCTGATGATCAGGCCAGACAGCGAATCAGACCTACCGTAGATGAGTCCATTTCAGATGTTACTCCAGAGAGTGGACAGTCAGTAGTTCATTCACAAGAAGATTTTTTTTCATCAGATTCACTGAAGAGTGTGGACAATTCTAAGGTTGATGCTGTTACTGATAAAAAAGCAGATAATACTGTTATGTTTGATCAGTCTTTTGGTGCTCAAGAAGATGCTCAAGTGCCCAGCCAGTCAGACAACAACAGAGAAAACATTTCACAGATATCCACCTCATCTCAGGTAATACAAGTGGAAACCAGTTTTGATCAGGAAGCTACTTCTGAAAAAAACAACTTCCCATGCAAAAATCCAGAGGTCAGTCTAAATGAAAAAGAACACACAGGGGTGGTGGTTAAATCTGAGCCTTTGAGTTCCCCAGAGCCTCAAGACGAAGTGAGCGATGTCACTTCTCAAGCAGAAGGCAGTGAGTCTGTTGAAGTGGAAGGAGGAGTGGCAAGCACAGAGAAGATAGAACTGAGTCCTGAAAGCAGTGATCGTAGCTTTTCTGACCCACAGTCTAGTACTGATAGGGTGGGAGACATCCATATTATGGAAGCATCAAATAACCTGGAACACAGGTCCACTTTCAGTATCTCAAATTTTCTGAATAGAAGCAGAGGTGGTAACTTTGGTGCAAGTCAAAATAGCAATGATAACATGCCAAATACAACAAGGGACTGCAGAATGGATGGTGATACCTCTTACCTATTGAGTCCAGAGTCAGGGCCTGCTAGTAGTCATTCCTCTGTTACAGTTTGTCATGTAGAGAATCCATTCAGTGAGTCTGCAGACTCTCATTTTGTTAGACCAATGCAGGATGCAATGGCTCTTCCATGTGTACAGACTTCTGGGTACAGGGCTGCAGAACAATTTGGTATGGCTTTTCCAAGGTCAGGCTTGGGCCTGCACTCTTCATCAAGGACAGTGATGGGATCTGTAAGAGGTGGAGCTAGTAGCTTTCCTGGCTATCGTCGCATAGCCCCCAAAATGCCTGTTGTGACCTCTGTCAGGAGCTCCCAGCTACAAGATAACACTTCCAGTTCCCAGCTGTTAATCAATGGGACCACTTCTTTTGAAAATGGACATCCTTCACAACCTGGTCCACCACAGTTGACAAGGGCATCTGCAGATGTTCTTTCAAAATGTAAGAAGGCCTTATCTGAACATAATGTCTTGGTTGTTGAAGGTGCTCGTAAATACGCCTGTAAGATCTGCTGCAAGACTTTTTTGACCCTAACAGACTGTAAGAAGCACATTCGTGTGCATACAGGAGAAAAGCCTTATGCCTGTTTAAAGTGTGGCAAACGGTTCAGCCAGTCCAGCCATCTATACAAGCATTCCAAAACAACCTGTCTGAGGTGGCAGAGCAGCAATCTACCTAGCACTTTGCTTTGATTTCCCCCACTCCCTAGCCCCATGGGAATGCTAATACAAACTTTTAAGACTGGAGTATTTTAGGAACACTAATGTTCTTTTCTTCAAGGCTGAAGGTTAAGAAGCTGCCCTTGTAGATTACTGAATGCTTGCATGTGATTGTGCTGCATTCACAAAAGTCTTAGTTCTGTAAATTGGTGATAATACCATATTTACCTCACAGGGGTGTTGTGAGACTTAAAGAACTGTTAATGAACTGCTTTGAGATCTTCAGAAGGAGGCACTGTAGACAGGTTAAGAGTTATTGTTAAATACATGCAGGTCTTGGGCTCACAGGGATGTAATCCCTAAAACCAAGTAGTTCCATTGTAGGGCAGACAGGTGGGGGTTGAGTGAGAATGTAGTTAACTTCTAATTATGTTGGAGTAGCATGTTTCAAGAATGAAAAATTGAAGGGCAAATAATTTTTTGGAGGGGGGGGGGATTTTGTAAAATTCTGAAAACATTTAAATAAATGACCCATAACATACGTTGGTAAGTTTTGTATGAACAGTAATGCAAAGAGATCTTTACAGTAACTGATACAGATTGCATATTCTTAAAAGAAAACCAACCTTGGATGCACCTGTCTGCCATAAAATGCTTTAAAATGTTAATTATTAAAGTAGTTTTAGGGTTCTGAATGAATTTTTGGCTGTTTTGCAGTAAAGGACAGTGTGTAATGAAGGTACTTAAAATGTAAGTCCACAACAAGTAACTTCTAGACTGTTAGATGTGTCTATAAATACTTTGAATACAGCGAGATCTGGTTGTTTCACCATTTTTTTTCCTGTAAAAACTTGTATTAAGTAACAAGTGAAATACTGTTTCTTCTTTGTGCTATTCTTAGTGATATTTTAACCAACTTGTATTTCATATGTTTAAGTTTCATAGACATGGAAGCCTGAAATGAGCTTGTCTATATCTACTTTGTTGGTTTCTTTTAAATGAGAGATGATTTGTGGTGGCTCCTTTTACTGGTTAAGGTAGTTTCTTACTCCAGATGCAGATAGTCAATCTGATTCACATTATTGTGTAAGCATACTATCGTTTCCTCATTTTATCATCAGGCTTAAATTTCTTCCTCCATATACTTACTGTCCTTCCTAAGAGGAAGGATTCCTGAGACTGTTCCTCAGATCAATGTCAGGAATGAGCCTCGCTTGCCATATTTATGGATGTCTCTGTATAAAATGTAGCTAACACCACCAAGCTTTAAGTTTAGAGTAGTATCATAAATGTAGTTTTTCAAGTAAGTAAAACTCTAGCATTAATTTCATTAAAAACATAGCACTATACACTTTGTAAAGCAGAAGTTCAGTGATCTTTATTCTTCAGGTGAATTGCACAGATTGTGTTTTAATTTCCTCTTCTTAGAAACCACTGTAACTAATCATGTTTGCAGGGGTTTTGGTTTTGTTTTTTGTTACAGATGCCCATGAACTAAATACTGTCTTTCAATATATTAGATTTCTAAATAAATTTTGGAGTACTTATACTAATAAATGTTACTCTGCTATGTGGGAGCTGGGTCAGTGCTTCAGCATGTCAGTTCTACCTAGAACAGACAGATATTTAACATTTTCTATATCTAAATCACACAGCAGCTGCTGCTTTTAATATAAAAATGTATTTGTGAACTTCCCCTCTTTGTTCTGTATAGCAAATATATCCTGTGTGATGTTATTGACCAACTTTACTAGGGCTTGTAGTGACAGGTCTTTTACTAGGGCTTGTAGTGACAGGACGAGGGGGAATGGCTATAAACTGGAAGAGGGCAGGTTTAGATTAAACATTAGGAAGAAGTTTTTCACTTTGAGGGTTGTAAGGCACTGGAACAGGTTGCCCAGAGAAGTTGTTGAGGCCCCATCCCTGGGGGTGTTCAAGGCCAGGCTAGACGTGGCCTTGGGCAACCTGGTCTAGTGGGAGGTGTCCCTGCCCATGGCAGGGAGGGTGGAACTCAATGATCTTTAAGGTCCTTTCCAACCTAAACCATTCTATGATTCTATGAACTTTGAGGAACTTGTGCTATCCAATAGACAGGTTAGCCTTCTGAATGATCTTGGATTTATATTTAGGTAAACTGCAAAGAAAATACTAATTCACAGTGCTGTAACTAATTTTAACTGGATGAACAATCCAAAGTATTGAAGCACCAAACCAAAATGTGCATTGTTGGACCAAAAGAAATATGGAACTCTCTCTACGTGTCTTTATTTGAAACAGTAGTTCACTAATAAAAAAGTATAGCTTCATCTCCTCTAACCACACTTCTAACACACTATCTCCTCTAACTTCACACTTCCAACTTCATGTTGGAAAAACTGCCTAATGTCTGTCAATACTTTATTTTCAGCTTGAGCATCCAAGGTAAATAAGAATGTGGATCTATGGTGAATGGCATGATTAAATCCTTTGGTATGTTAAAATCTCACTATAGGTTTTATTTAATGGTCACATTTCTGGATCTTTATTTTTAAAGCATTAAAAAGACTTATCATACAGAAAGCAGTAGGAAATATCACATTTTGTTTGATAATCATATTGATATCAGGGTCTAATGACATTGAGCCTCGCTCAGTCTCACTGGATCAACAATAAGATACAGTATTTTCTGCTTAATTATCTTGCTCATGTGTTTGCCTTATTAGTGACATCCTGCCTATTTTTTCCGTCTCCCTTGCCTTTCTAGTGTTTCCCTTAAAATTAGTTTTATCTGTATTTTCTATCTGCTTTCATATGCTACGTTGCACCTGAAACCCTACCATGTTTCATCATACTTTTTGACTAGCCAGAGGTTGTAAGGGAGGGCTTAATTTAAAAAAAAAATATTTTTTTTTTGCAAGTAGCAATTTTTAATTTTCATCATTCATTGATTCTAGTGTTCCTGGAGGGGGATACTGAAAACTTGTGTCTGACTGCTCTTGCTTTCTTGGTCTTTCACTATCATAGATTCACAAAACATTTGGGTTGGAAGGGACCTCAGGAGGTCTCTAGTCCAACATGCTGCTCAAAGTGGGGTCAGCTATGAGGTCAGACCAAGTTGCTCAGGTTTTGTGCAGTGAGGGCTTGAAAACCTCCAAGAACAGAACTCCCACAAACTCTCTTGGCCCCTGTTCCATTGTTTGACTGTCCTCATAGTGAAAAAGTTTTTCCTCACATCCAGTCTGTACTTCTCTTGTTTCAACTTTATGCCTGTTGTTTCTCATCCTCCTACTATGCACCACTGTGAAGAGCCTGGCTCCATCTTCTTGATCTCCTTGTATGCATTGGAAAACTGCTACTAGGTCCCCCAAAACCTTTTTTTCTCCAAGCGGAACAAGCCTATTTCTGTCAGCCTTTCCTTATGGGGCATTTGCTCTAGCTCCCTGCACTTCTTGGTGGCTCTACTGGGTCTGGCTGGGATGGAGTGAACTTTCTTCATAGCAGCCCATATGGTGGTGTGCTCTCTCATGAGACCCCACCTGGAGTACTGCATCCAGCTCTGGAGCCCCCAACATAAGAAGGACATGGACCTGCTGGAGCGGGTCCAGAGGAGAGCCATGAGGATGATCTGAGGGCTGGAGCACCTCTCCTATGAGGAGCGGCTGAGAGCGCTGGGGCTGTTCAGCCTGGAGAAGAGAAGGCTCCAGGGAGATCTTATTGCGGCCTTCCAGTACCTAAAGGGGGCCTACAGGAGAGCTGGGGAAGAACTTTTTACTAGGGCATGTAGCGAGAGGACAAGGGGGAATGGCTATAAACTGGAAGAGGGCAGGTTTAGATTAAACATTAGGAAGAAGTTTTTCACTTTAAGGGTGGTAAGGCACTGGAACAGGTTGCCCAGAGAGGTTGTTGAGGCCCCATCCCTGGAGGTGTTCAAGGCCAGGCTGGACGTGGCCTTGGGCAACCTGGTCTAGTGGGAGGTGTCCCTGCCTATGGCAGGGGGGTTGGAACTCAATGATCTTCAAGGTCCTTTCCAACCTAAACCATTCTATGATTCTATGATTTTCCCAGGGACTAAAGTTAGACCGACTGGCCTGTAATTCCCTGGATCATCTTTTTGGCCTTTTTTGAAGATGGATGCAACATTTGTCCTTTTTCAGTCATCAAGGACCTCCTCTGATCTCCACAACCTTTCCAAGATGATAGAGAGCAGCCTCCTGGTGACATCAGCCAGCTCTTTCAGCACAGTTGGATGCATCCCATCTGGTCCCATGGACTTGTATGGGTTGAGATTTCTTAAGAGGTTCCTGATTTGACTCTCATCCACTACTGGTAGAGTTGTTCTCCTTGAACCCTGTCTCTACGTACAGAGTCCTGGAAGACCTTGTTGACGAAGACCAAGACCAAGAAGGCAGTGAGTACCTCAGCCTTGTCTGTGCCTGCTATTGCTAAATTACCTACCCCATTCATCAACAGATGCTCATTTTCCTCAGCCTTTTACTATTAATCTATCAATAGAATTTGCTCTTGTTGCCCCTGAATCCATTGCAGGTGTCAACTCTTTGAAGCATTATTTCAGAAAGATATCATCATGTAAATAATCCATACTGCAAAATAAATACTGCATTTCCAAGCCTGATAATTGTCACAGTTATCACTGTTGAGTTTTTTTGTTTGGAAGACTTATTTGGAGCATTACAGTGAGATCTTGTGTGAAGATGTCATTATGTTTAGTATTATGAAATACATCCAAAAATAAATACTATGTTTTTGTGTGCTTATGTCTGATTTGATTTATTTGCTTACATTGTCCTGTTTTTTTTTTTGTTGATAGCTTGCAGTGGATTATTGACTGAACAAGTTATGGTTGTTTGTTCAGTAAGCAGGTTGTGTGTGTTATGCAATCACTTGTCAGTGGAAATTAATCTTGTTCAACTGTGAACACAAAATTGTGGTTTGGTTTGGTTTTTTTTTTTAACCAAATTAAACAAAGTGCACAGTACTGCTCATGCAAGCCTCCTGCCTTACTGTTCTGGTTTGAGGTGAAACAGGACCAGTTT